TTCCTGGACTTTGTTCTGGGACATGGTTACTTAGAAACCGTTTGCGCCATTTCCGTCTTCTTTTTCGGCTTTTTCAGGACTAAGCAGAACCACATTTAGACTAGGACTAATTGTTCTCCACAACTGCAAAACTCCTCTGACTCTGATTTCCCATGAAATAATTTTGCGACTCTGCCTGTGAACAGGAGCTATCCTGGACCCGTGAGAGTTCCAAATCCTGTTCCATTGCGGCCCACTAAACAAGTGACCATCAGAGGGGCCCCGGGACCCCAGAGTCCCTTCTGAGCGGCTCTCACCCCTCCTCTCCACTCAGTGCGCGCCATCCATGCGGGCTCTCTGTCCTCCTCAGACATAAAGTTTGGTCTCTTCTCCAGAGACTTCTGGGCTTTGTTTGCGTTCCCTTTTCTGTACTGCGGCTTGGATGTTCTCTCCGGGCAGGAAACCGGGCCCTCGGTAGGGTGCCCTTGGTTTGTTTCTTGTCCCTGGGGGGTCATGTTGCCCTAAATTTAAGGTAACCAGACATCCCACTTTTAGCGGGACAGTCCCGATTTTTAACAATTTTTCCCGCATCCCACGGCGTTTTAAAAAAGTCCCAATTTTTGGACAGAATGTACGACAAGCTAGGATATACAGTTTTCGGCTGCCATGTGGCTATTTTGCCAGGATATGAGTTTTTCAATGGTGTCCCGCTTTACCAATGTTAAAATCTGGTCACCTTACCTTAGTTGCCTGATGTCCGGTGTCATGAAAGCCATTATTGTGTGTAGTTTTCTGTGGGGGTGGGGAGTAGGTGTTTCTTTTTATTTGTATTGTTTAGGCATAAAGGTAAATTTGAGCCATGCTACTCCATCTTGATCAGAGGCAGAAGTCTTCTCAAGACATAACTTTTCCTTTCACACCCCAATCTGTCATGGGGGACAGGGGTCCCCACAGTGTCTTTTCACGTCAGCGCCCTCCTTTTCAGTAATTCGTACAGGAAATCAATTTGTTCATTATTGAGTGTCTACTAATACTAAGTCATGTGCATCACTTGCTTAAATGAATAGCCTTGGTCCATGCCCAAGGTGGACTTTGGGTCCAGCGAGGGAGACGGACAAGGTGATTGTTACTGTAGTTCAAGGTGATCACCTTTTGAAAGCTCTAAGGTGTGCTACAATGCAGTCACAGGTTCATTGCGCCCATCGAGCCTATTCTGACCGGGTGGCCTTTTGGTGACACTTAGACACTTCGGAATGTTGTCTTGACCTCGAGTGGAGTGCCCATCCTTCCCACGCCTCCACGTTCTTCTCTCGTGGAAGGATGGGGCTGAATGTACTCTCTGGGCCCCTAACTCTGCTGGATTTGTGTCCTTTCTGCATGACCTGTTCTGTCCATCTGAACATTTACCTACAGGTAGAATCTGGTTTCATTCTTCTCTCGTCCTTTGACCAGAGTTAAGTAAGTGTTGGAGAATGAAATACAAAGAATTATGCTTGTTTTCCGAATTGGCAATACCAATCTCCCGGGAGGCTCTGGAACAGTCCAGAGGGCTGAGAAAGCAGATCCTTATCCATACCTTTTCCTGGAGTGTGGGCTATCGTACAAATGTGGGGGGCATCTGTGGTTCTGTGTCTTGGGTGAGAAACTCAAGTCCTGATCCCCAGTGCCCAAACTCAGCTCCTCAGTCATCGATTTGATGGTGGGCTTTGCTCATTTGTAATCATTAGGTGTTTTGTTCAAAAGTGGAGATTTTTACTATTCTATGAAGAGTTTCAAAGTCAAGTGAGTTAAATTTCACTAAAATGGATCTAAAATTGTGATCCATTTTAGAGTAGTAAGATTACAGATTAGTAAGATTATAGGTAAAAGTGGTTAGTTTAAAAATGTAACTGTAGCTACGCACAGCCTAATAAATCGAAACATGATTCTAAAGCTTGGATATGAATTGCACAAAATGACTTGAGGGAAATAGCATCTTCCAAACCTAGCAGTTGTTATTATATCTCTCAGATCCATTTCCATGTTTTAAGCTCCTTTTAATGAAAATGTTCTAATGGGGGTGGCTGAGCCCTTTTTCGCACCGAAAGGTTCAGATATGTTTGGGAACCTCTGCTGTAGACGGATGAGTTTTCTCAACGGCAGCCGCCCAGTTTCAAAAGTAAAGTGTACTGGGGCTGTTGGGAGTGGCTAAGGGCGAGTCTACTTTAAAACCTGGCCCCTGTGTCCATGTGCGTCTGGGTGATGAAGGAGGACTATGACCACTTGAATGGTCGCAGTGATGTCTGCGGTTGCTGGTGACCTCTGAGAGCCCTCCTCCTGTGATAGAGCCCTGCGCTGGGGGGAGTGGGCCCTGCCCTCCTGCATCCACAGGATCCGTGGGCAGAGGATTGTCTGAAAAGTGAAAGTTGCAGGTTCTGATTGGCTTCTTCAGCCTTGAATTCCATTGCCGTATTCAATTGAACTTTTCTCTGACCCTAGTTAGTTGTGATCAGCATTGCCCTTGGAAGTAGCTTCTGTTTTGATGACTGCTGCCCATGGGGTCTGTCTGGTACTTGTGATAGGTCCGGGCGTTCCTGCTCGTCCTAAGGAATGCATTGAGGTATTGTCAGACACTCTGTGGTCTTGCTCGGTGTGGAATAGCTTACAAGGAAGGCACTGTGCTGTGTCAGTTTCTAAGCTTCTGGTTCCGGATGTCTCTAGCAGCCTTCCTATTTGTTCAGGTACTTGGTGAGCCGTCCAACATGAATAGCCTCTCTGTCCTGCTGAGGCTCTGGGGAGCTGTGTGCGCCTGTGCGAGTGAGCCGGCGTTTACTGAGCAAGCCTAGTGGGAGGCAGGCGCTGGGTGTGTTAGTACAAAGATTACATAAGGCATTCTTCTGGCTACCAAGGTGCTTCCAGTCCAGAAGGGAGATGGCAAGGGTGGTTCAGAAGCTTGTTCAGAGGGACCGCAAGAAGAATTGAGAAGATGAGTTGTGGTTGTGGTTTTCTTTCTTCTTCTTCTTCTTTTTTTTTTTTTTTCAGACTGCTCTGTTGGGATCGGTGGCTGAAGTGACCAAGTGGCTGCATCCCACCATTTATAGACATGTTCTATTTTGAGGCCGCGTTTGTGGTTTGGAAAGGATATAATTATTTTCAACAAATGCTCAGGAGTGGGCAAAGTAGGTCAGGCCCAGGAAGTGCTGAGAAGTATAAAGTTACATCTTCTGCTCCTATGGACTTCTCATATTGGGAAGGCAGGGCATAGTCACCGTAAAAGTCGTAATAATATGAAAGTCTTCTTTTTAAAAAGAAAAAACCTAGTTGTCAACACTGAGTAGAAATGGCCCAGGGGCGTGAAGTGGGAGAGGATGGACCTTTGCTGTTTACTAAGTACACGTCTGCATTGTTGGGGATCTCCGCCGAATGCATGCTGTTCACTAAGTACACATCTGCATTGTTGGGGATCTCCGCCGAATGCATGCTGTTCACTAAGTACATGTCTGCATTGTTGGGGATCTCCGCCGAATGCATGTATTGCCCTTTTTAATTCTAATTTGTTATCAGTTAAAAGGGGGTAGAATTGACAAGATTGTCAAAATTATGTGACCCATAAGAGCCTCTGCATGTAGACTGAGTGATCGCCCGTTCTCATGTCTACCCTGCCATCATGGTCAGGTGTAGCTTCTGTTGCTGTTAGGATGGTGGCCCCCGGGGTGCAGAATAAAACAACGACTACGACGTGTGATTTCTGTTTGAAAAAGTGTTTGGACACGTAGAGCGGTTAGTCCATCACTGTCTACATGAGCCCTGCAGTGACACAGAAGAGTCAGTCTGCACGCTTTGTGCCACTGTCAACTCTCGTCCCCTGTCCCCCGCCCATTTTAACACACCCACAGGCTCTCCAGACAAACCACGCCCTCTTCTGCTTCCTGCACTCAGCCACCGTTACTTTTCATGATGGCATGGTTGGTTGTTTCCTGCAGGGCCATCACAGGAGTGGATTTGCCCTGTGTGTGCGCCCTCCGGCGTCCTGGAGGCCTCAGGGCTGTGGCCTCTGGGGAGCAGATTCCGCCAGCCTCCAAGGTGTCAGCGGTGGTTTCAACTCCCGACCTTCAGGCCGGTCGTTGAGTGCATTAACCATTGGTATCCCGCAGGGATGTTTGCATGTTATTTTACAAATAGATAAAAAGAATGGTACCCAAAAGGCAACACACCTACCTGCAGTGACCCTTGAAATGACTTTTCAGCATGCTTCGCAGTAAGTGCCCAGCAGCCAGCTGAGAGGCTGGTGCTTTGGACTCACCCAGAGCACCTGGAACGGGTCTGCTTAGGAAACTAAGGGCACCTCCTCCAAGAGCCTGTGGAGGGACCCCACCCTCACACCCAGGGCCACCATGACTCGGAGTCAACTCGATGGCAGCTCACCCCCTCCGCCACCCACCCTCTAGCTTGAACCCTCCTTGTCTCCCCGCGCCCCCCACAGCTCCGTTAGCGCCACTGTCACTGTTAGTGATGACGTGAGCCCTGGCGTTTGCTTCTTGCTTCTGCCGCGTGTCGGTGTTGAGTGAGGCTTGACTAGAAGGGAAGGGAACCCAGCGAGGAACTAGCGGTTCAGCTGCACCGCCACGGCGGCCTGCGCAGGTTTCACCTACGCTGATTGGGTTACAATTGTGTGGGCCAGTGTGGGCTGGGAGCCCTGCTTTGAAGAGATTATTTTGCTGTATCTTTATTTTTAATTCTCCTGGAGGAAAATAAATAGATTCTTCTCGTCTGCCCATCTGGTGCAGCGAAGAAAACTCAGCTGTTTGGCTGGCTTTGCGGGAGAGAAAAGTCCGATTTCTAAATTATTTGTCGTTCTGGTGAAATAGTTAAATCCTGCCGCTCCCAAATTTTGTTCTAGGGATATATGTCCCCTTCTAATTAACGAACCTAATCACTCTGAACAGTAAGGAAGTTCTGGGTCACTGAGGGAAGTCAAAAGCTAAAGAAGAGGTGCCGTTCCTCAGTGGACATCTTCATCTTCTCCCTCCCCTCTCTCGTAGCACGTGTTTGATGACCTCAGCGGCTCTGTGTCCCTGTCTTGGTTTGGAGACAACACTGGGGTAAGTCATTGTATTAGTCTAGGTACTTTGGAGAAACAAATCCACAGCAACTCACGTATAAGAGAGTGTTTTATGCAAAGAAAA